GAGCCTAGTTTGAAAGGTTTAGGGCTTCTCTTGTTAACTTCGGTTACACAAAGACTCAGCCTGACCATACCCTCTTTGTGAAGAGGAGAGGTTCATTGGTGGTATATCTTATAGTCTATGTGGATGACACTGTAGTGATTGGCATTGATGTGACAGGGATTGATAACCTTAAATCCTTCATGTAGAGTTTGAGATCAACGACTTGGGGGAATTGAGGTATTTCCTAGGTATTGAAGTGGCTCAATCTAAAGATGGAATCTTTATTTCTCAACGCAAGTATGTGCTAGACTTGCTCACTGAAATAGGTAAAATGGGTGCAAAACTAGTGCCTACCCCTATTGATATGTGTCACAAGCCTTTTGCCTTTGATGGAGAATTGTTGAAGGATAAAGGAGTGTTTCAAAGGTTATTTGGGAAACTGCTATGTCTTCGTATGACTCGCCTTGGCATTGCATATGCTGTTAGCTACATTAGCTAATTCATGCATGCTCCTAAAGATACACATATGGCAGCAGCAAAGAGGATTTTATGTTACTTGAAGAGTACTCCAGGGAAGGGTATTCTTTTTGCTAAACATGATCATATGAAACTGGAGGCCTATACAAATGTTGACTGGGCAGGCAACATTGATGATAGGAGGTCAACTTCCGGATATTGTAGTATTGTGGCGGGTAATATTGTTTATTGGAGAAGCAAGCAACAATCTATGGTTGCTATATCTTTAGCTGAGGTAGAGTATAGAGCTATGGCTCATGGAGTTTCTGAGTTACTTTGGCTTCAATCCCTGATGAAGGAATTAGGTGTTGAGTATGATAGACCACTGATGCTGTATTTTGACAATCAGACCGCCATTAACATTTCCCACAATCTTGTGCAACATGATAACATCAAACACATTGAAGTTGACGGCACTTCATCAGAGAAAGAGTGGCATCTGAAGAAGTTTGTCTACCTTTCATTGCATCTAAAGAACAGTTAGTTGGCATTCTTACCAAATGAGTCTCCAAGGCCAAGCTACAACATGATACAGGCAAGCTGGGCATGATTGACATCTATGCTCAGCTTGAGGGGGAGTGTAGAGAAGATGGGCCGAATGGCCCATAGCCCACAGTTGTTATTTATCTTTATACTCCTGTTCTGTTTTTGTTAACATCAGTTTTATTTTGTTTAATTAGCTGGCTGTCCGATTAAGGGCTTACTTATAATAAAACATTCCCCTAGTCACTTAAGAACCAAACTGAATCACTCCAAGGACCATCACAGACCCAAAAAGGATGAAAAGGGAATTCCAACTTCAGTGTTACAAATTGTCTTCACAACCACAGACATAAGACAGTAGAAAAATAGATCTTTAATCCTAGCTGCTCCAAAAAAAAAAACAAAAAAAGCACCCTGAACTTCACAAAAAACTGGCTACATAGCCTTCAAACGTTCACTGCAAACACTATTTTCTGACACATCTAGCTACAACTCGAAGGTTCACACCTGGCTGTAAAGGGATCCCACAATCTACGGTCACATGAAAACAGTTATATGATTTAAACGTCTCTTTACAGCATCCAGCCACCACCAAAAATAATTTCTTTGACACTATGACCAAAGAAAAAACAAGGATAAAAAGAGGAAACTAGATGATCAGATCAGGCCAAGAGGTGTATTTGTTCTCTTTAATTTGAAGAAGATAAAGTTGGAAATGGAACCACAATCTGACCTGCTTCTAGCACCTGGAAAACTGCTTTGATACCATATCATCTGAATAGAATGAAGAGAAAATGCAAGGGAAGAGATGAAGGAAAAGTGACAAGAGAATAGTAGAGAGAACGATTGGAGGTTCCAAAATCTAGGCTGGCAGTGCGTAGGTTCTTATTTATATTAGGATGGGATTGCTAGGAAGAATAGTAGACGCTTCTTGGAAGTTACTAGAACTCTCCTCTAGATGTCAGTTCCCATTCTTATTGGTGGTGTTGTCCTCGTGGCACAGCCTTTGGTGGTAGAATTCCATTTATAATTCTTTTTGCTAACAATCCTTTGTTTTCAGTTACTCCACGTATTTGTAAGTATCTGTTTCTCAGATACTTGAGTCCAAACTTGATAAACCTGACAACAATGAAGATTGTCTTTCTAGGTTATTCCTAAACCTGAAAGTTTAAGTATTATAATTCTGTAACGTGTTGTCATTTCATTTTTGCTGGCATCACAAAATTTATACACAGTAATCACCTAGTTCAGTTTAGAGGTGATCATTCTCAGCTCGGCTCAGAAATTCCAGGCTTGGGCTTAGGTTGTGTTCAAGTCCGGCATGGGGCTTGGGCCTGGATATTTCATGGTTGTGCCTGGACCCAATACATTAACCTGGCCCAGTCTGCACATATTTATATAAATATTATTTATATATAACTTATGCGTTCGTATATATGTTATTTTATATTATAGTTTATATTTATATATAAATATTATAATGACTCCTATAATACATTATATATAATTTTTTATATTGTATAAAGTATAAAACAAATTTTCTACACATTATATGATGTATAATATAAAATATAATATATATTTAATATTTTACACCTAATAGTTATAGGCTTGGAATTAAGCCCAGCCTAAACCCATATAGGCCAAGGCCTAGGCTATAGTCCTTATAATATGTGCAAAGCCGGGCCAGCCCATTATCACTCTTACTTCAGTTCAGTACCATCTTCTAAGAGATTTGTCTAGAGAATAGCCATCATATACGTCCACTAATCATGATCTACTTGTTACTCTTCAAAAGAGCAAGTGTTCTTACAGAAATCACCCAATTAGCCACTTTGTTTCTTATACATCCTTGTTTTCTATTGGTCATAGCTTCATATCTTCTTTTTTCTACTATTTTTATTTCTATTTGCATAGGAGGCCATGACAAATATTGGGTGGAGGATAGCAATGTTAGAGTAAATATCAGCCTTTATACCAAAGTGATACATGAGATTTAATACCCCTTTGTCCTAGCAAGAAACTACTTGGATGTTGATGGATGGATATAAACTGCGAAGTTTCATCCTGATGGTACTATAAAACAACTCAAACTTGGCTAGTAGTTACTGGCTTTTCTCGTGCTTATTGTGCAGGCTTCACTAATACGTTTTACCTGACATCATAGATCTCCTCGATCCATGTTGTTGTTACTTTTGCTGCTAGCACTTCATTAGTGAGAATGATATTATGATCATAGGCAATGCTAAGGGCATAATTTGAAATTGTTTTTATACTAGCACTAGGGATGGCATTTTTCCCCATTTCCCTGATCCCATGGGAACCCACCTCGAATGGGGCAGGGATGGGGAAATTTTACGGGGATGGGATGGGGATGGGGAGAGCACTCTCCACCCCACAGGTACCCTGATCCCTATTAATATATATGTATATATTTACGCATACATCTGTATATGTATGTATATATAATAATATTTTTAAAAATATGGTTAAATATGTTTGAATATATTTGATTCTTTTTTAATAGGATCGCAAGTTTTAATTACTAATGAGTTATGGATGTTCAAGCCTAAACCACTACCTTTTACAATGGATCCTGATGTCAAACTTACTTTTTAATCAAGGAGTTAATTGATGATGGCCAGCTTATGATATTGGTTGGGAAGATGAATTATCTAACCATAATTTGGCCAAACATACCTTTTACAGTTAGTGTAATCAGCTAATTTATGAATTCACCTATAATTCCTCACTTCCCCAATATTCTATTTATATTATGATATTCAAACCAGCTGTAAATTAAAATATTAACTCCTTTAACAAAATGTAAACAGACTTATCTACCCTCACTTGAGTTATAAGTATAGAAAAAATTGAATAGTCCTATCCACTAAAAATATAAAGATACCCCATCAAATTTTAGCCAAGTCAAGGCTAGGCGATAGGGGGGTGCCTTGTCACCTAGTCACCTAGGCGATTGATTTTTTTGAATAAAAAACATATATCCTAGGGTAGTTCCCTAGGTTCCATAACCATATTTTCTTATAATTATCCATAATTTTTATAAGAAAAGTATAATCTTCATATTAAAGTATAGAAAATCAACATATTCATGAAAAGAAAAAGAATAAAAGAAAATTCAAAAAATATAGGGACTGAACACATTTTTGTTAAGGCTCAATTTGGAAGGAGTACAAATACAAATATGTACAGTACAAATACATACAAAATAATACAAAATACATTTGTATTTTGTACTCCTTCCAAATATGTACAGTAAGCAATGTCTATGTTGATTAGGGGTGGATTCGAGGTGAACCAAGCCGAATGTTTTATAAAAGTAAAAAGTTATATATAAAAATATTTTTTATTTGATATTTAAAAAATTAAGAATTATAATATTTTTATTATGTATAAATATATATTATTTTCTATAATTTTATTATATATATATATATATATATTTGAGCCAGCTTGTGAGCCTCACGAGCCGAATTCTATAGGCTCGAGCTCGGCTCAAAGCTCGGTTGAAACCGAGCCAAGCTGAACTTTTCACGAGCCGAGCTCAAATAGCTCATGAAGAGCTCGGCTCGTTACCACCCCTACTGTTGATTAAACCCATCCAACTCATGAGCCCCCATGGTGCAGGCAGGATTCGATCCCAAGCCTCTGCTACAACCAGCAGGAGACCTTACCCATAAACCAGTTGGCACCTTGCATCTAATACCAATAATCAGATACTTGCACAGATAATTGGCATCATTTATTGAGGCTGTCTTCTAGATCATTACTGAAGATCTAAAAACAGAATCACATATGAAAGTTAACCTTCAGTCAAGTCGTTCTTTAGAATATCACTATCTTCAGAACATTTCTATCTTCAGAACATTTCCTGATCCTTGTACGTAAAATTATTTTAACTAGTTTAATCCTTGGTTATAACTGTCAACAATATACTTGATTCTATTTTGTTCTGTATCTCAATTCTCAACTCCTTTTTTTGTGGCTTGTCATTTGTGTAGCTGAATGCACCACTTTCAACAATGATGAGGAGCCCACCTCCTTGCGTTACAGCATCAACATCTATTGAACGAGTGATAAAACTAATTCTGGAAAAAAGGTTTAAAATGATCATCATTGTAAAATCTGGCAATTTTTTTGGCACTGATTACAGCTCTAGCTTTAGAGCGCTTGGCATTTTTACTTCTGAAAGATTGTATAAGCTCACCATTCCAGTATTTGAGGGGCAGAAACATTGTAGTTATACAACATCAACGTAATATATATAGCTCTCTAGAGAGAGCCATTCTTATTTTTAGCCGGTATGTGGAAATTATTGTGAACTTTATGAGATGTTAATGTACTCGCTGTGACCACTGACCACAACTCTTGTGCATGTGTTTGTGTTTCCCTTTGTATAGTAGGTCCCACGAAGTTAGGGGCTGAGATTTCTTGATTGTCTTATGACAGAGTAGTGTGCGTTTCACGTCTAGGACTCTTTAACCTTTGGTTTCTCTATTCCCTTTTGTTGGTACATCGCCTCACAACAGCACCAGATTTCTTCTCCTAGGGTCGGGTGGCACGGCCCGATTTTGAGTTGGCCCGGCATGACAGACTGGGTCGTGTTAGGCATGACACGATCGTATGGGTCAGGTCGGGCATGGGGTTTCTGGTCTACGGGCTGTCATGGCACATTATGACTGAGTGGGCCATGCCATCTGTGGCCCGCGTGCCAGCACAGCCTGACTTGGCCCATGGCACGGTCCATATATATTTTATATATATATATATCTATATAATATGAATATATATTATTGTATATAATAATTATATAATATATTAGTATGTATAATTTTATTTTCAATTTTATTATGTTATTTCATTTTATTATTGCATATATAAACAATTGTATACATCAAAATTCATATAAAATAAAATTTTAAGATCATTTTAAAATTTTATCTATTTTCTTAATTTATGTTAAAAATTTCATTATTTTTTTCAAAATTTTTAAAAACATGGCTTGGCCTAGTCTATGGCCTGGCCTGGCCCAAGGCTCGTGCGGGTTTGGGCCATGGACTGTGCCAAGTCGACCCTCCAAAGTATCCCAAGGGTTTGGGCCATGGATCGTGCCCGTGGGCCATGCTGTGCCAGCCTAGCATGACCCTATTTACACCTCTAGGGGTAGGGTTAAATGGATTGAATCTGTTTGGATTTGATAAGTCCAAATTTGATTCATTTATATATATTTCATGTACGAAATATCCGTTCAAAATATCGATATGCTCGATACGCCGGTATGAGTGTATCAGGCGAATCGATATAGCTTTTTAGTGTGTTTTTTTTTTATTTTTTATTTTTTTGCAACTGGTTCAGGGGAGACAGTTTAGGCCTCCTCCACACCCTGAACTGGTATGACCCTTGATACACCCACTGTAGGGGTGTATCGGAGGGGTCTTTGAACGATACGTATCGACCGATATGGGCCAATACGTGCCAATACTTTGAACCTTGATTATACTGAAGATAAATGAATTGAAAGTGTTTTTAAAATAAATAAGTTGAATAACATAAAAAAAAATGATCAAAATATTCTATATTATTAATAAAATGAACTAAAAATGTCATTAATATTATATTTCATTTATAAAATCAATTTAAAATTAATTGTATGAAACCTGAACATGTGACAATTCAAATTAACTCTTGGTATTACAGCCTCCTGGCCTAAACTGGAAATGAAAACAACGAATAGGGTCTTGCCCAACTTTATTGGAAATGAAAACTGCCACAAGTAAAAAAAAAAAAAAAAAAAAAAAAAAAAAAAAAAAAAAAAAAAAAAAAAAAAAAAAAACGAGAATAAATAGAAATAGAATCATTGGAGTTGGCTTCGTTCGTTGTAAGGGAAGACGAAGAGATAAGATAACAGTTCTTGCCCTCGGTTAGTGTTATGTTGTCCTGTGACATGGCTGGTCAATTGATTTGGACCAATAAGAATGCTCAGCAGGACGAATTCGTCATTCATTGAAGGAGAGAAGAATTCTCCCTGTACAGGTCCAATTAGAGGTGTAAATCGGGACGTATTACCCGTTGCCTGGCATGGCCCGGCCCAACTTTCAACCAGCCCAGCACGATGGCACGTGGGCTATGCTAGGCCTGGCACAATCGTGTGAGCTGTGTTGGGCCTGGGGTTTTAGGTCCACGGACTAGGCCAATACGGCAAGACCAAGTAGGTCGTGCCGCCCATGGCCTGGCCCAGCACAACCCATATATTATTTGTATATTTTATATATTTATATATATAATATAATATATTATACAAATTATAATTATACAATAATATAGTATATAACATATTAATAAAATAAACAGTTGTTTTGAATTTTATTATACTAATTGATTTAATTATTGTATATTTAAGCAATTATGTACATCAATATTCATATAAAATTAAAATTTTAAGTTTCTTTTCAATTTTTAAATAAATAGCTTTGGCCCAATCCGCGGCCCGACCTTGCCCAAGGCTTGGCCCATAGGCCAAATCGGCCCACGACACAACACGGGCCTGCACAAGCTTGGACCGACCCCCCAAGTTATCCTAGGGGAGGGTGGCACGTTCCATAGGCTAGCACGACACGGACCACATGCAGCCCGGCATGGCCCATTTTACACCTCTAGGTCCAACGATGGATAGAGAGAAGTAAAATGGAGATGGCATGGTGTGGGAATCATGAAATAGATTGTAATGGAGCACGAGTCCTATGAACCCTTTGGTTTAGTTCAGGGAAATTGTGCACCTGCCAATGAAAAATGAACACTTTGTCTTAGTAATTTAACAGGAGTTTAACGGGGCTGGTCCAACTAATGAAACCAGTCACTAAAAGACAAAAAATAAAAAATAAAAGACCTAATAATGGATTGTCCATTTGAATTAGACGGTCAAACCATCAACCTAGGAACCAGTGGCTAGAACGGTTCCAGTTTTGGTTCATTTTTTTTTTAAACGTTGTTTTTTTATTATGTATATGGGTGCAAACGGATTGGATTGAATTCAAATTAGGGTAATTCAAATTAGATCCTACACTATTCACGGTAAATCAAATCTGATCAGATTTGATAGGCAAGGATCTGAATTCGAATTCGATCAGGAAGTTGGATCTACAGATTTGATCTGATCCAATCCAATTTGTTTTCTTTAAAAATTAATAAATTATTAAAAGAAAAAATATATACCAATTTAAATAAAGAAAAACAAAAAATACAAGTATTTTTAATTATTTCGTCATAGATTTATAAATATATTTATTTGAATTAGGCCATCAGTATTTGAATTAGGCCATCAATTCAAGCCCAAGAGGAGTAGTGGACAGCTGTGAAGTACATACTAAAATACCTATGAAGGACTAAAGACAAATTTTCTCTTCTATGGTTGTTCACTATAGATGGTTAGGTATATAGATGTCAACTTCCAGTCTAACCCAGACGATAGAAAGTCTACATCTAGATATGTTGGGATCCTATGCAGTTAGTCAAAATTGTAGCAAACAAAGATCCATGATAGACTCCACGACTAAGGCCAAGTACATTACCGTAAATGAGGCTTCCAAGAATTAGGAGACATTTTAATTCAGAAAATAGCATCAATGGAAAATGTTGCAAGCCCACTAACTAACACACTGACACAGAAAGTGTTTAAAGAATGCGTGGATAGTATGGGACTAAGGCTTATACCCAATTGGACCTAAGTGCAAGTGGAAGTTGTTAAATAGTATATGCCCTTAGCTTCAATTAGACTAATGTACATAAACATTTATTTGTAAATGAATAAAGTGCATTGTTGTTTCATGTTTATATTGGTATGTTTTCTGTGCATTACCCCTTAAACTGGGCACTTATGAGACTCGTGTTAGTTTAAAATGTTCTCAGCCATTGGATAGATTTAAGGAGTTTATCCTGACAAGACTGACACTAATGTGTTTCCAAATAGTTGGAGCAGTTCGTCTCATTTGTTAGAGTTAGACCTGCACAGGTAGTTAGTGTTTGGAAGAAACACTGAAACCGGACCAATTTCAAGTTATGCCCTGTACCTTGGAGATAGATGGGCAAAACTGAAAAGTTACACTTTACCCCGAACTAGATTATGGTATTGCACTAAGTGTTGGATTGGGTTGTCTTTGATATGCCAACTAGTGACATTCATCAAGGGTCAAATACTTAGGCATGTTGGGGTAGTTTGGGTAATCACTTGAGTGGGTGACCATAGTGATAGGATCGGCCTCTTTGTTGAACAAAGAAGAATATCAGCGTTTACATTCTCTCTGATGGAAACCTAAACAACCGGCAGTAGATTTTAATTATATTTGAAATCTAATTTTGCAAAATGTATTTATATGTTATATTACTATTTTATGAAAAAGTTTTGCAAAAGGTTTTAATCCAGGGATCCATTCAAGTAGAGATTGTGACATTGTAGGTTGCAACCAGGGGAGAGGTCCTTCTTTCTTCTCTCCCAGGGCAAACAGAACTTGGTTTCTTCACTCTCTTGCTCTCTCCTCTTCTTTCTTCTCTCCCAGAAACCCTATCATGACCTATCCATTGCAAGAATTGTTTTTTATCAGTTTTCCTTTGAGTTTTTGCAAGAAAAACATTGGGGAAATCAAGCTCACAAATCCCAGTTGATTCAAGGCAGTTGGATAGTATTTTTGTAGGAAATAGTGTTGCTAAATCGACTTCTCATTCACTGTGCCATCTTCAATTAGAGGCCGGTTTTGGGCGTAAACTACCACTCTAGGAGTCGTGATTTGTGGACTCCATATCAGGTACAATTAGTTTTAATTTTGGTTTCACATCTAGTCCGGTTCAATGCAAGACCGACCTAGAAATTTCAGATTTCAAAATCTTTGAGAAACCAGTTAACGAATGGGGTTAGAAAATTTTTGCCTAGAAATTCAACCAGCCATTAGTGACAGGATTTGAGCCTATGACCTCAAGGTTATGAGCCTTGCGAACTACCAAGCTGCTCTACCCCDCGCCGAAGAGAAGAACTGGGAACTATATTGGAGTATCATTGGTGTGTTCCAGTATCTTACTATTACACGGTTGGACATCTTGTTTTTCATCAACAAAGTTTGTTAGTTTCTTCACTCTCCATTGATTGAACACTGGGCCACTGTGAAATGGATCTTATAGTACCTCAAGCAAACAACCGATCATGGACTCCATTTCTACTCCACTTCAGCCCCATTCACTCTTTAGGCTTTCTTTGATGCTGATTGGGCCAATTTCCCCGATAACCGACATTCTATTGGTGGTTATCTC